GGGGGGGGGGTCCGTACTCTGCCGCAGGGACCCCAGTCCGGGAAACGCCCCCTAAGGAGAAGTCCCTGAGTGCCGCGCGGACACGCAGACATGTGCGAGCACTGGGCACCCCTCCACCTGCAGCAAACGAAGCAATGGGAACATTTTCATCGTTCCAAAGAAGACTCGGGGGGACAAAACGGGTTAAGCCAGCGACAGCACGACTCTGGAAGGATACTGAAAACGGTCGTTCCCAGAGAACTCGCAAAAATGAAGAACGCTCACTGTTAAAAAGAAAAAGACGCTGCCCGCACTGAGCACAGGTAGGTACAGCTACACCCGTGGACTAGAGGTAAAATGTTCTTTGCAGACACAAAAACTGTTGTGCTCCAGACAAATTATGGGCAACCTGTTTCTCTTCACACTTTGCCTAATGGGCCAGTTTCTAACGGTTTAGCTCGGTTTATCCATGGGCAAATCTCTCCATTCTCTGTGGCCAAGGGGATGCGGAAATAATCCAAATATAATAAAATGTAAGTGCCCAACTCCATGCAATACAAAGTACAAGTTTATTCTTTTCAATACTAAGCATCCTCTTTATATACAAACGTAAGTGCAGGAATGCCGTGGCCCCAACCCCCTTCTCTTCACTGTCAAACGCCCGCACAGACGACCAGACATTATTTTTACTCACGATTCCAGGTGGGCCTGGGGGACCTGCTTCACCTTTGTCTCCCTACAAAAGAAAAAATACGTGGCTTTTTCTGACGATATGGATTGTCTTGCAGAAAGCAGTGTTCAACTTCTTTTTTTTTTTTTCCTGGAAAAATAAAGACTGTGCCCACTTACACTAAAATTATTTTCCTCACCGTGAGGACGGACCTTCAAGTGCTCCGGACCTGTCATAACAAACACGAATGCACTTCACTCTGCTTTGTGCAGCGTGCCGCGTGGAAATAAGGATTTCTACAAATCATAACCGGGAGCGCAATTATTAACAGGACGAAGGCGCTCACAACGTTTGCTGTGTTCGGTTGGTTGCACGCTCCCTTGGACAACTCGCATAGAGCCATCCGTGAGTTGAGTCAGAATGTGGTGGTCTTTCAATAAAATGAAATGCAATGGAAGCTTTTGATTTCTCAATGTATTTTCTTAAAGAAATCATTTTATTAGAGATTTTTAGGTGAAAGGTTGTCCGAGGCTGCCTCGGAGTCCTTGTAAAAGGATATTTATGGTTTTGCCTCTCTCCTTAAAACCCAGCATTACCTGAAAACGTTTGGGGGGGGGGATAAATTCTGGTCACTCTGAGGCTTAATTTCATTCATATAAGAAGACAAACTCAACAAAATTAATCCTGTTATATCTAATGTTTTTATGTAAGCCATCATAATAGTATCTTTAAAAGTCCTAAGATCTGCACATAGTCCCTTAATGTAGTTTTCCCCTTTCAACCAAGGCAATAAACGTAGGAGTAAACCAGAATTCAATGTTTTGAATTTTCTTACCTGAATACGAGAAGAGGCTTTAGAAACATCTTTGGGACTTAAAAAATATCTTAGCTAATATATTCTAAACGGATTTACCTTTTAAAATCTACAAGATTTGACTTTTTTAAAAAAAGTTACAGTATCAGTAAAGGATTTTTCCTTTACTTCCCTTTTCCTTGGCTTTCGTGAACGAACCGTGAGGTCTGCTCCCTGGTCTATGAGTCACCACGAGAAATATTTCCAAACTACTTCTTACTTCAGCAGACATTTATGTTATCTAGTTTTCTGCCTACCACACTGACAAATATTTTTTAAGGTTTGATAGCTAGCAGTTGCCAAAAAAAAAACAAAAAAGGGCCCCAGACAGATGGCTGTTCTTTTTCAGGGGCAATTTGGTGGCCTGTGGCAAAACTTTCAAAAAAGAGAGTGTAAACATTGACCCCCCCAAATTACACTTGTAGCAATCTGTGACATGGAAACGAGCAGACAAGTGAGCACAGATACTTGTACCCATCCCCACGTGGGTGTGACCCAGATGCCATGCAGAAGGCCTGGGCACAGAGTACATTCCCATGTGGCCGTGCGTGCAGACATCCTTACCCGCGTCGTATCACTAAGCAAGGAGGCCAAGAGGCATCACACATTACTATTTTACAGGGCGTACGTGTGTGTACACACAGGGCAATTGTGCACACACAGGGCGTGGTTTTACAGGGTGTGTGCGTGTGGATACACGGGGCAATGGTGCACTCCGTTTCTGAGAGGGGAACAGAAACATCAGATAAGCTTTCTTTTCTTCACTCTTTCTGCCTTTTCAGCTGTTTTGTAGCCAGATAAAATTCATCTATTACCAAAAATAAGGCATAAAAACTTGAATGAGTGGAACATTTTATGTTCTTTTAAAAAGAATCATACACAGGGGTGCCTGGGTGGCTTGATCCATTGAGCACCTGACTTTGGCCCAGGTCATGATCTCATGGTTCATGGGTAGGAGCCCCACGTCGGGCTCTGTGCTGACAGCTCAGAGCCTGCTTGGGATTCTCTCTCTCCCTATCCCTCTCTGCCCTTCCTCCACTCACACGCTCTCTGTCAAAATAAATAAACCTTAAAGAAATAAACAAAAAAAATTTTTTGAATAAAAATTTTTTTAAATTTTTTTCAAATCACACACACAAATAAAACCACAAAATTAAGTTGTGATTTGCTCGTAGGGAAGGTAAATATTTTTTATTATTTGAGTCCACAGTCCTTTACACTACGAACAACTTCTGGGCTGAACTACAAAATAAGGTAAAGCTCTAAGTAGTGTCACCACTTACCTTGAAACCTTCTCGTCCGGGGAGTCCTGGGTACCCTGCGTCACCTGGGAACCCCTGAAGTGAAACATGGAGAACAGTAATGAGCAAACAAGGGCAACAGTTTGTTCTTAAGAATTACAGAGAAATACGGGGGCACCTGGGGGGCTCAGGCTATTAGGCGTCTGGCTTCAGCTGAGGTCATGATCTCGCAGTTTGTGGGTTCCAGCCCTGAGTCGGGCTCTGTGCTGAGAGTTCAGAGCCTGGATCCTGCTTCGGATTCTGTGTCTCCCTCTCTCTCTGCCTCTCCCCCCTTGTGCTCTGCCTCTCTGTCTCAAAAATAAATAAACATTTAAAAAAAAAGTCTCGGGGCGTCTGGGTGGCTCAGTCAGTTGGGCATCCAACTTCAGCTCGGGTCATCATTTCACAGTTCGTGGGTTCGAGCCCCACGTCGGGCTCTGTGCTGACAGCTCGGAGCCTGGAGGCTGCTTCAGATTCTGTATCTCTCTCTCTGTGACCCTCCCCAGCTCACACTCTGTCTCTCTCTCTCTCAAAAATACATCAAAAAAAATTTTCTTAAATAAAAAAAAGTCTTTCCCTTTCGAAAGAAAGAAAGAAAGAAAGAAAGAAAGAAAGAAAGAAAGAAAGAAAGAAAGAGAAAATTACAGAGAAATGCTTACTGGACTCCCTTTTTCTCCTTTTTCGCCATCTTTGCCAGGTTTTCCCTGTACAATGAAGATTCAGACGTTAGAATTTCATAAAAATAACAATAAATACGCTCTAACACCAAGGCTCTGAACCCCTACGTGAGCTAGCTGCCCACACCACACTAATGAGTAATGCGGTATACAGAGAATAACTGTGGAGTGACAGCCAAAGAGGACTTTCCAGTTTTTAGAAAACGGAGCCGGAGTAGCCCCAAATCTCCCAAGATAACCATTACATTTGGCGACAGAGCTAACAGCAGAGAGGTTTTCTGAATGGCAAGGGGCCAGTGGCAGGTAGGCAGAGGACTCGTTTTAATGGGGGTCTGCACACATCATTTTCAGGGTAGGAGCAGGACGGGCTCAGGCCGCTACAAGCGGGTGGGTCTCCCGTCCCCAGGATTCAGGGGTGGGAAGCATCGGAACACCTCACGTCTAAGCCATGCAGTCTGGGCTCCGGGCGGAGCCCCGAGCAGGCTCAGGAGGCAGCCAAAAAGAGCACCCAGCACTCCGAGCAAGAGGACTGGGGGCTTTCAGTGAGAAGCCAGCAGGCGGGTGGCTGTCCAGAGAGCCCCCCAGCCCCAGCTCTCTGTGGTGGGAGGCCTCAGCCTTGCCGGGGGGATTTTCAGGTGGAGGTGGCCTCATCCTTCCTGCTACAAGGGCTTCGAGAAAGCCCTTCCGGAGAGGACAGACCTCTTCAACTCGTGTTTCTGTAAGTCTGGGATTCTAGGAAAGGGAGGAGAATGAGTTTACAGTCAGGAACAGAAGGACTTGGGAGGCACTTACTCGGGGCCCTGGCTTTCCGGGCTCCCCTTTCTCTCCAACCCCTGGCATTCCCTTGAAAGAACAGAAAGATTCATTAGGACATTTAAGTAAAATATTAAATTGAGTCGATATTATACTGAAGGTGAAGAAATTCATAACTTCAACCCAGCACGTCGTGAACGTTCCCACAAAATGATGATAAACAAATAGGAATGTGGGCCTTACCTGAAATCCAGGTTCACCTTTCTGACCCTAAAAGAAGTTTTAAAAAGAGATCAAGAGAGTGAGCCATCAGGATTAACGGTTGTATTGATCTTGACACACCACACTGAACATGGAAAAGGAAAACAATGCCTTTTCCCGATACGTCAACAAGGAAATTCTCTTTGGTCTCCCGTGTTCGTGTCCTAACTCCCAGAAGGGTGTGGCTTTAGGAAGACCACGTCATTATGCTCGATCCACGGCAGCTGGGACCCTCCGCCCTCACCCTCAGCCTCTGTCCCTGCTGCAGACCCAGCCTGGCCTCAACCTGGTGCATCTAAGAAGCCCCCACGTGGAGCTCAGCCTTGCCCCAACCCAGTTCAGCTGCCTCTGCTCCCCCTATGCTCATATTTTGCGGGACGGACAATCTATAAACCTGTTTTCTCTGCATCCCTCCAATTTGTCCCAAATTCGAAAGCCGGCATTCACCTAAGAAAGTCCATCTCCTACCTTCTCTCCTTTAGTGGCAAAGTCTCCTTTTTCTTGAACCTGAGCTTGTCCTGGAACCCCCGGGGGCCCACTGACCCCTTGGTCACCCTGGTGAGGCAAAATAGAACATCTGGTTTTCAAAAAGGTAATCATACTCTGTTCTAATCTATCCCCGTCTCAGCACAAAATGCAGTGTCAGTAGGTAGATGGTACATTAAGGACACGAAGCCAGGAGACTCTCACCTCTCAGGGGTCAGGAAAGCCGCTACCTCAGGTAATAGGAATGGAACCTGAACATCTATGAGACATCTCTGCACGCGTGCATACGTGAGGACCGCACATGCACTTCTGCGGTACATGCATACGTAGCAGGACACAGAGGCTGTCCTCCCGCATTTTGAGGGCACGGAGGGAAGGGTCACAGACTGCTAACACAGCCTGAGAGGAAAGGACGTATCTTTAGGGGCACGAAAAGGAAGGGAACCATCGGGAATGTTCTCCCTCGGGAACTCGGACAGCTGGACGCAACTAGAAGTACAGAGAATCCCAGTCATCTCACGATGAATGAGATCCAAAACATTCAATTTGCGGGGTCACCTTCCTCGGAGGTTTATGGAAAGACTGGACCAAATCTGGGGTGAAACATGGAGGCCTTAGGTCAGCCCAGACCTGCCCAGGCCTCTGGTGCACCTGTCGCCCACCAGTGGTGGTCTCTACACCGACTTGGGCTCCGATGGAGAAGAACGTGGGCCCCGTGGTAGGTGCTGCCACAGGCCCGGAATCCCCACTTGGCTGGTGCCCATGTGGCTAGTCTGACTCAGGGAAACTGGTGGAGAGATCACTGGAGGATCAGGGAGCCACCGCTGGCCTCCCTTCTCCCCTGCTCCAGTCTCTGCCTCCCTGCCTCTCCCGACTCGTATGACGGCCATCCATCTCTGCAGGGTTTAGTATAGCTGTGCTACTAACGTCCAAGTTCTAAATGCGCCTCTTTTATAATAAAGTCTGGGTCTGGCTTTATCACTGCCTGGGAACATTCTGATTGAATTCAACGCACAGGGAACTAGAACTAGAATGGCCTTGTATTCTCTGCTGGTCAGACCACACGTAGAAAACCTCAGTGACTTCTAGCCATGCATTTTAAGGAAAACACTAATAAATTCAAGAACATGCAGAATAGGGGAACTGCGGTTGGGAAGGTCCAAGAGGAGGTCCAGAGGCTGAAATTCTATCATCCCTACAACTGTGATTTTAAACATAACGACACTCCATGGGACGCCTGGGGGCCTCAGTTGCTTGAACATCCCGACTCTTGATTTCAGCTCGGGTCATGATCTCATGGGCGTGAGTGTGAGTCCCACATCAGGCACTGTGCTGACAGCACGGAGCCTGCTTGGGATTCTCTCTCTCACCCTCTCTTCCGCTCCCACTGTCTCTCAAAATAAATAAATAAGTTAAAAAAAAATAAAAAATAAATGTGACAACAGTCCAGAGCCACGTGTACTCACCTTGTCGCCCTTTGGGCCTTGGAAACTTAAGCCCATTTGCCCCTGTTGATTAAAAATTAGGCTTCCGTTATTTGAGTTGTCCACTTTGCTCAAAATCACACAAAATGTAATGATAAGGTGGGGTCAAGGCAGGAGCTGCTTCCAACAAGTATCATAACATTTTCCACAAAGTTGTGTCCTGCGGTATTCAGTGGCTATTAAAAACGCTTTTTAAAGTATTCTTGAAAAAGAATTCTATAAAACCTTTTTTTTTTTAATTTAAGGTTTTTAAAATGTGACTATAGGGGCGCCTGGGTGGCTCAGTCGGTTAAGCGTCCGACTTCAGCTCAGGTCACGATCTCGCGGTCCGTGAGTTCGAGCCCTGCGTTGGGCTCTGGGCTGATCGCTCAGAGCCTGGAGCCTGCTTCCAATTCTGTGTCTCCCTCTCTCTCTGCCCCTCCCCCGTTCATGCTCTGTTTCTCTCTGTCTCAAAAATAAATTAAAAATAAAATAAAATAAAATAAAATAAAATAAAATAAAATAAAATAAAACAAAATGTGACTATAGAAAACTAAAGGAAAGATCAACGATTCCAAAGTAAGGGACTGGTGAAAGGAAAGACAGAACAGATGGATAGATCAGACAGACAGACAGAGAGATAGATAGATGATTGATAGACAGATGAACAGACAGGCAGATGGATGGATAGATGGATGGATAGATGGAAATGGATGAGTGGATAGATGGATGGATGGGTGGACAGGCAGACAGATGGACAGACGATGGATGGATGGATGACGGATAGATAGAGGGATGGGTATACGGATACATGGGCAGGTGGGTAGACAGATGTTAAATAGAGACAAAAAAATCACTTTCTCAAACTGTTTATAGAGACTAAACAGCGAGTTATGATGATTTTGTGGTAGGCATATACAAATGTTGAAGAAATTCAAATGAAAAATATATTTACCTTTTCACCTGGAGGGCCAGGAGGACCTGGAGGGCCCTGTAAAAAAGAGCATTTTAATTAAATATCATTCATAACCCTGGTAAGCTTTAAATGCTTTTTAATGAGGTTATCTTAAGATTCCCATGATTAATATGATATTTGTTAAATATTTAAATTTTATTCCTGTGCTTCGGATCTATAAAATTTTGAAAATAACTAGGAATTAGTCCAGGACAATAATTACCAGGGATGGAAACACCTCAGAATCTTAGGCACTTCCCCATGAAATCCACTGACCCAACAATGTGCCCGGCTAACAGGTGATGACTTAAATTATCAGCCAAACTCTCTGAGAGCCCTGGGGTTTCCAGGTCGGAAATAACGTCACATTTGTTCACTTTGGATATAACTACTTATCTTAAAAAGTTGAATGATTTCTTCAAGTGCATAGACTGTAGTGAAGTAAAAACCTTCCTGTGTTTGCAGCAAAATTTCAGAATGTTTTTTAATCATTAAAAAAAAAAGCCTAGTCATTCTCTTTCACAAAAATGAGTCCATTTATTTGCAAGAATATAAAAGAGGTTACTTTCGCAAGAATGGACATTAGAGTTGCTGGATTTGGAAGAAAGGAAGGAAGGAAGGGTCAAAGGGAGGGAAGAAGAAAGGGAGGGAGGAGGGTGGGAG